ACTGTACAAAAAATCTCAAGAAGTGGTTGACATAGATCAAACTTATGTTGGAAACAAGTGGACGTAAGTCAAAACGACTCGTTCACATAATTGTTAAACCAACAAACTATAACAACTTGCCATTGAAGATTCTGGTATTAATGAACGTCGTGTTATGTTTCTTTTGCTCAGATCTGGTAGAAAGTTGGATCCAATATATGTATGCCAGAGAAACAGTCATAACGACAGCTACAGCATGAAATCAAACATCCAATATGAACTGTTTTAGTTTCGTAAAGTTTGTTGAGCTAGTCCAAGAGACTTTCCAGGAATCCTTTCTAAAGGATTAAGGACAGTATCTTACTATGATTCGCCAATTTTTTCTTTTCCCTCTTTTGTCGTCAATATGCTGTAATGATTACGAGTATTTGAATTACTGTAAGAACTAGGGATACCAGAAATAACGCAATTTAGAGCAAGAAGAACCAAATGAGCACTAATGAATGTATTAGCTGCGACTAAACTCAACTCGATTTCGGAATAGTGGCAGTCTACTTAGCGACCAATCAAAATGAAGCGAGAACCATCATATCCGCCACTTTTGTGGGTAAGGGTGGTCGACTTTCTTCATTCTGGGTTTTTTTTCGCCGTTGCATAATTTAATGTTTTACTGTGTTAAAATTCCTCAGTTAACGTATTACTCTAAATGTTGGTGCAAATTTTTTGGAACCAGCTTTGTTCCCTCGGTTTTTTCTACAGCTACTCAAGTCAATGTACTCCTTCAGGCAAGTTCGCTTGTCTTGTGTTATACAATCTTCATCCGTCTTGTTTGGAGTATTATTTTGTTGATATCGAAAGCCGAAGTTAGTTTTATTTTTAGCTGAAATAAGTGTTGCTGTCATATGGGACTTCAACTGTCCGCATTTTCGTTCCTAAATGTTATTTAAGATGTTACCGTGAGTAATGAAAAGAAAGGGGTCTCTAGTTTGTTATTTTATTCAGTATTGCGGATAGCCCTACTCCATCAACTAGTCCGACTAATACTGAATGCCCAGTAGTTGTGGATACTGGTGATGTTTTTGAAAGGATTATGAAACCCGGACACCTGACAACTTAGGACGAAGTCTAAGATGCTATCAATATGTTGCAGAAGATTTGTTGTTGAGAATGTAAGATCCATTTTGAAGGTCTCATGTGTGGAAATCCCTCCATGTATATATTTGCATCTTCTTCTTAATGATTTCTTTATTTGTACATATTGTTAATCTTTTTGATGCCGTTTGAGACTGTAGTGTTTCATTTCATAATAGTTTTCTCAGCTTTTCTGTTGCTTTCGCTGGGTTTCTATGTTTCTTCTTGAACTGTATCTATGTTGTTTTAATTGATTTTTTCCTGACGGCTGCCAAATTGATTGTTTCCTATTTGATTGTGTAGCTTGACTTGGCCGGGATAGTGTATTTCAGTTGTAAATTGGAGCACTTTCCCAGAACTTGGAACACTTTGTGTTGTAAAGACACTCATTCAGTGGATTTTTACTTGATCTATCCAGAAAGGATAGAATAACACTTACTGTTTGGATCGTTCGGTAATTTTCTTATACTTCTTATCAATTTGCTACTTATTTTAATTTAGTTTGATTATTGTGGGACAATTGTTGGTTAAATAACTGAGTGTTAATATTTGTTTAGGTAAAATTGTACATTTGTACTTACGATGAAATTTAGAACCTTTGTTACCCCAATCACCTTGTTTTGATTTCGTTTGGGTCGCGCGTTAATATATTTATTCCACGGACAGTTATTCTTCACCCAAACGCAGTTTAGATTTTATAGAAAATGTGCCTTATAATAGATGAGTTGAACTAATTACGTCTTAAGTGAAAGCAAGCTTAACATAAGAAAGCTGGAAGTTCGCTACCGGTATGTAGTGTATGTTTGTTGTTTTGGGCATAAACGAAAACCGGGAGGCCATGGTCAGGGATTAAAGGGTAAACAATTGTTATTGTTCTCAATTTTCCTAGCGCTGATGACGTTTAACTGGAGGAGGGAAGAAAAGAAGGTAGATGTAGTATGGATTGTAGATAATTTCAAAATCATCATGGCGAACAACAGTGGGACCGAAACATTCTTGATGGATTGTGCATGTCCATTATATCTGCTGCTGAAACAACTCACCGTAATACCCAAATAGTTTTATGTTCATCCCAAGTGTGTAGAGCTATGCGTAAGGTAGACCCGTCAACCAATAATGAAGCAGTACTTGTGTTGAATTGTCCGTGAACAATCAGTGGTGAATTTTCGTCAGATCCAATACATAATCACTGTTCTCAGAAGATGCATCACAACGTAGTTAAACAAAAACTGGGTGAAACGGAAACGATATTGGGCCGCAGCTTTCAACAGTGACGTTGTTATCTTGGGTGAAACTACAAATAACCACACTGGAGAACCATATATAAATTAATGAGGAAGTTGTGTAACCAAGATTTATTGAGCAAATGTGTGTGGAAGATGTACACGTCACAAAGACAATTAAGTAAACGCAAGTCATTGCAGTCCAGCCTGTTTTGTAGTCATAAACGTAGGTATATTGCTCCAGAGAGCTTAATGACTCTCTTAAGCAAGCTGACTAAGTATGCCGGGTTTCTATTCCCTAGCGAATAAAAGAGGAAAAGGATGATGTACATTGAAAACAGTGCGTCATCATTAGTGTTCTTTGTGGACAGCAGTCACTGTCCTATAGTGGATATAAACGATGACATTCGCATATTCCGTGTATTCCAAACGTGTCGAACTTCACGTAAGCACACGGTATTTACTCATGTGCAGGTGCGTTCATATATTCATATATTCATCTTCGTCTCATGATATAGTCTTGAAGCTCTGTGGAGATGGACTTGGGCTGCCGGTGGAGATTGTATTCAGAATTTGAAATAAGGCAGATATCAAGTACAAAGGAATCATTAGTTCATACAAACACCACGTACAACTAGGTTCTTATCTGGAGGTATCGGTGATCCACTGCTACTAGATACGGAAGGCCGTCAAGAAAATGTTTTTTCTGTTCCGTTCAGAACTATTTCAACCATTTGAAAGAAGTATTCCATGGAGCGAAGATCATGTTATATATCTTCCAATTTTTGCAGTGTTGCGCATAAAATACAAAAAGTAAATACTAAGTGACGCATATTTTGCATGGTTCTTGAGGAATTGATTGCAAGATTCAATGCATATTTTCTGAAAACAAACATGGTCGAACTTACTGTTGGCAAGTACTCAAGTAGATTTAGATGAATTGTTTACGCGATTAGTTGTTACTTGCCAAATGTTATTACTCGTTATAGAGCTAGAAAATGAACAACCATTACTCATATAACAGCCGTTAAACAGACAGGTTTATCTAAAAACCATGGGGATGCTGATATAGAGTTCTGGATCTCGTCATATCAAACATCGAAAGAATATAATTTAGTAATTAGTCCAAATCCCTATCAGCTAGAAATATCAACCATTCGGCCTACCAACATTATCTATTCTTCCAAGTAATTCTTCCACATATTGCTCGTAAACTAACTCTCATTTTGCTGTGTGTTAGATGCTGTGTGAATAGCAATTTACGTAATGAATAAATAAATCATGCCACTCTAATACGTGGAATCTCACGTTACAGAGTCGTTCATGTATCCATACAACATATTTTAAATCTTGCAATATAAATTTGCCACACATATCAAACGCAATGTTCGTAATAAAGTTTTTACGAATATGGCGTTCATTTGTTATTTTTCCCTACCTCATTCCCACTCAACATTACCATGAGTGACATTCTAGACAGACCTTAGTAGAGGGAAGTTTGTTAGTGACTGTAGGACCCAGAATCCGTGAAGTCAAATATTCATAACACGTTTTTAAACATTTTTATCCCACTATATCCTAACCGCGTAAGAAATTATATTACAGCGTCGAGTAACTTAATATCCACAATAAATTTGAGGTTGTGAGTGGGTAATATGCAAACAACATAGATGCTTTAGTTCATATAGCAGTATCAGAACATCAAAAAACAACGAGTTTTATTTTCTGCTTGATCACGCTCTATCCATTCTTGAACTTTTGTGTAAACTTTAGAACTGATTCTCAGAAAAGTGTAACTTAGAATACAGGTTACTAGACCTTTACAGATTTTCAGTCAAAACCCGAACACGTGTAAGTTTACAGACACATGCCTTATCTAGACTACGGGATTATATGGCGAAACAAACAAAAGTGGGAAAACATTTGCACACATATTCATACATAATCTACTTTATATAACCATGTGGCTAAACCATATACTTGATAGCTCATTTCATTTCATCTCGACTGAATCTGACTCTATCTGGAAAACGGATAGAAAGCTGAAGTTTCTTCACTGGCCAAGTTACATTTGGATTAAATCGCTTTCGTATTTCAGTACAAAACTCATTTTATCCCGAACACATTTACCTTGAATCGAGAATCAGAACTCACATGGCCCAAACTTCAGCTACATATGTCCACTGTCAAGTTGAAATAGGCTCAGGTGATTTACTGAAAAGCTATCAAAAATAGCTACTCTGCGAAGTTATCCACCAATAATTACCTATAAATTAGGACTTACTCGACATGATACACCAAAAACACTCACGGAGTCTCAGGTAACCTCTCTTAGTGGATTCATATACAGTGAACACCAGTCTACTACAATAAAAGGAACTAATAAATATGAAATTAAACTGAAATACATCTACAGGAATGTAAACTCATCGTAAGAAAACCACCAGATATTGCCATATCAATAACGCTACTCTGCATGAATGAAGTGAGTATATGGCCATTTTTCTCTCTGGGATCTGTGAGATTAGAAGAAAAGTTATAGATCCTTTAGATCAGGAATTCAATTTAAATGTTACAAACATGGATATTAAAAAATCTCTTACAGGATAGGTGTACAGTAAAGAATTGAACTAAACTGAAGGTCGACAGTAACGTCCTTCACGCACGATGACTAGTCAAATATTAGATCTAGTAAGGCGCTTTAAGGTCTTATGTGAAAGGAATCCAGACAAGTCAGAGGCTGTTGTTGCTATTGAAGTCCTTGCGCAACTTCATGAATGTTCCGATGTCACAACCGTCCAAGGTCTTCATGATGTAATGAATGCAGCCATAGAACGTATGTGGAAAGAGGGAGTTAGCAATCTTTCCGTTATATCAGCTTGTGAATTATTCCAGCGTTTTATTACTCTAGCAACACTGGATACAGTCGATTTTGATGAGTGTAAAAGAGTTCTTTCTGAGAGAGCCCAGATATTTATCAGAAAGGCGAGTATAATTTCATCTTTTTAATCAGGGAATTAATATTTTCGATAATTTGCCTCATTATTGAGTTACTAATGGTTTTTATTACATAAATACGCTTTTTGGCCGTAATATTGGGTGACGATTAGCTTCAAATCGGGTGAGACTATAATTTATGAACGACTTTTAAGGGACGCTAGAGTGACCTAGAGAGTATCCGCATAATTATTAGGATGAAATGAGGGTTATAAACCTGTGTGGGGAGTTCGAATTATAATTTACGGTTCATGGTTAAGGTTAGTAATTATACTTAAAGTTTTCATCACGAACCGATATCAGCCATAATGTCGAAACTTTATTTATCCAAATGAATGAATTGATTTCGCGCCAAAATCGGAGACCTGTTACCTTATACCGGATCGTTTCGTCCAAAAATTATAGTCTCGCCAAATCTCCCTAGAGTTATTGACGCCCTCTTACTAACTTCCAAGCCTGATTTCCTCTTAGTTCGACAAAGTTACTCTGCTTGTTTCAGACCCGTGTAAAGGTAGAAGGGATCTTAATTTATGTATTCATAGACCACAAATATCTGAGATTCTATCTATTGACTTGTTAACCGTATGCTTTATAGTTCCTGGGTATATATCACTTGTAAGTTTTCGTCTGTTTTGTTTATGTTACGTTTATTTTTATTCAAGCATTATTATCGTTCATCTATCAATTAAGGGATGAGTATACTGCGCGGCAGTTCGCTCATTTCTAATTTACGTCTGTGAAACATGGCCATTATGAGTAGAAGATACTCGTAAGTTACTAGTATTTGACCACAGATGTCTTAGAAATAGTACTCGCATCTTCTGGGATCACCGGCTAAGTAATAGTGAGGTCAGACACAGGGTATAAGGGAATTATGGTGATTCAGTTGATGAGGTTGTATATCCCCATCGACTGAGACGGTTAGGTCACGTGTTACGTATGCCTGAACACAGATTACCACGACAGGCTATGCTGACTAGTGTAGGGGGTGGTTGAAAGAGAGTTAGGGGCGGCCAAACCAAGTCATGACATCAGTGCTTGAAGTCACTAACTTCTAGTCTGAGCCATGTTGGTAGATGCAGACTACTTGGTTGGGGTCTGCGTGATTATCGTAACCAATGGTTGGAAACTGGGTGACATGACTCAGAAACGATCACAATTGCGTAGGTATATACACTCCCTGTCTTCCCTTAAACTATGAGATTAAAATAGCTTCATATCTTTCTTCCTGTATTATATCCTTATAAACAATCTTTCCTTTACACATTACCAACATTAAATTAACTACTTCTATGAATTTGGTGTTCATCTTGTTGTGCTAACGAGGTATGGCAACTTTTACCGATGCATATGTGTGTCTGGTCCTACGTTTTAGCTGACTGACTGATCGTTTTCCGCACCTGCTACCGATTTATCACCTGACTTGCGTGCTAAATATGTTGACTACTTCGATTTTGAATAGATGACTTGTCCAACGTAGTTTCTTTAAACCCAGAGTAACAGTTGGGACTGTGGTTAGTTGAAATAATTAGTCTTCCTAAGGTTAACATTATTTTTGTTAAGGTAGAAGCCATAACAATGGCAATATTTTATTACTCTAGCAACAGGTTTTCTTTAAGATGGTATTGTAAATATTAGGTGTCATTTCTTTATATCCAAGTTCATGTGCATATAAATTCCTGTATTTCGTATAGGGCAGCTCACAAATCACATTGCGCTCTGCATGAGTTCAACATAAGTTTCTAAGGCAAACTATTATTGACACCAACTCGGATGTGCAAATAATAAAAAGGCGAGAAGCGTTGCCTACAGCTTGCGACGTAATCAAACTAGCATCATGAATAGACGCAAGGTTTTAGAGCGAACTGTCATTATTATCATTTAAAAAATTGCTACCTTTGAGAGATACTAGCACCTAAACAATTTATCCAGTTCACTTCCCATATATGTATATCGTTTTATTATCATCGCTGGCCTTGTCCGTTAGCTCCCTTTTTGTATGAATGTGTGAAGAAATCAAATAGCTTAAGTATCTCACTTCTTGAATGTCAGTTAGTGTGTTACTAGAGCAATTTTAGTTTTCACAGTACCTCTGACGATACCCGTGATTTCCAATTTGATGTGTGTTTACGAAATATTTTTGTGTAATTCAATTGGTAACAGTTTTTAAATCTCAATATTTGAATGCAGAGTTTACTACTAATAATTACAGAATTTTGTTTTCCGCTACAGGTCGGTTCATGTAGGCGAAAAATAGCAGAAAACTCCCTGAATTACATCCCCAATGGTTCAGTGATATTCTTGCATTCTTATTCCCGTGTTGTTCTTGCTGCACTGGAATATGCTGCATCTACTCAAAAGCGTCTTCATTGTTATGTGACAACGTGTGCACCTAGCGGGCTGGGTGCAAAAATGACGAAAGCGTTGGCTAAATTAAAAATTTCCTGTACTCTTGTTCCAGACAACTCTCTTGCTTACTTGATGCCACAAGTCGACCTTGTTGTTTTGGGGGCTGAAGCTGTAGTGGAAAGTGGTGGAATATTAAATATGCTTGGTTCTTCACTAATTGCAATGACAGCATCTTCATTTGGTAGACCAGTTTATGTGCTTGCAGAATCTTTTAAATTTATGCGATGTTATCCTCTTGATCAGCGTCATATTCCTGATGAGTTCAAATGGTCTTACGATCACGAGTGTGGATCATTATCACCGTCAGCTCTATTAATTTTAAGAGATGGGAACAACTGTTTAACTCAGGATGAAAATAATTGTGATTTTCCAGAAATGAAAACAGCATGGGCTGATGTTGAAGCACAAAGAGTTCCTGTAATTGAACAAAAAATGCCTCGAGTAGACTATACAAGTCCATGTTACATTAATTATCTTATAACAGATCTAGGTGTCTTAACACCTTCAGCTGTTAGTGATGAATTGATTAAATTGTATTTATAATACTATGGCCATGAAAATATATACATGTTCATACACCGACTAGTTCTTTTCCTTGAATCAACATTTCATTGCTAAATCTGTGTTTTTCTAAAAATTTCTCTACTTGCTTTTTCAGTTTCCCAATATGAACATTTACACATTTCTGTACATCTTAGTTTATTTATTCAATACGAACAGTTCAACAGTAACAACGACAATCTTAGACTCGTCAGGTTCTGCATCTCGTTTACTGGTTCTTCTAATTGATGGGCTAAGATGGGATGTAATAGCTGGTCATTTAGAAAATAATACTAATCGATTCGGATTTAAACGACTACAGAAAAATGGTGCGTATTTGCAGCGTTTCACTCCTGTATTTCCCGCAGAGTGTTATCCGAATATTTACTCACTATTTACAGGTAGGTACACAGCATTTATGTCTTATTTAGTTTATTTTTTTCACGGTTAAATCCAAACATCTAAGCAAATACACAAAGCTATTTGCATATGCTAAGCTCTCGGTTACGTAAAGCATTTGAATGTCAATTCTATTTTCTGACTCACTGATCGAAACATACAAAATGGGCGTAAGTGTAGATCCATGACTTACTGGCTCAGCATTTCGTGTCTGAAACGATCAATTACATACAGTAAGTTGAATATATCTCAAGGATTTGCGAATAAACTACCAAGTGGTGGATAAATTAATATGATGATCCTAACTACTGATAGCTCTTATAAATTAAGAATTACTCCAGAGAACAAAATAATCATGTTGTAAAGAGATAAGAGGTGTAAAACTATGTTATTTATGATTGTAATATAAAACCATTTCATTACAGTATAAGTTAAGGCAAACATCTCACTTTGATTAGTAGTACATCTGAATTTAGGCAAAAAATGAAATAAAGTCCTATTGGAATCGTTGCTAACTTCGATTTTAAGTTATGTTCGATAGTTCTAGAAAACATTAAGTTCCTTGGTTTTCATAACTCCACCCACGAAATCGCAATCGAGTCAGGTCACTATCCGAAATTATACTATACATCACTGCGACGCAACGGTGTCTACCCCAATCGAAAGACGCTGAAACGTCACGCCCTAAATCATATCGACGCCCTGCATTCGGACATAAATGAGATACAGATGAATGTTTTCCGCAGAAAGTATGCAGTAGATGACTTAACGGAGAATTTAAAAATACCTTTCATGGAATATGTTACTAATGTTATGGATCATAGATCAGGGAAGAAACTCATTCAGCTTTTGAAAAGTCTAGAAAATCACACAGCTGAAAGCGAATTTCCAACTGACTCTAAAAGGTATGTCCATAATTTCTCGGATGTCGAACTGAATAACGATAAACTAGAGATATTATCCTTAGGTCTAAAGTTTTGTGATACCCGTAATAATTGTAACCACATAGATACCGATATACAGTTTGAGAATCTATACAGCCAGACACGTGATTTAGTGGCTAATTCTGATCAACAACCGGAGCACTTTAAATCTACTCTTGTGGACTGTTGCTACCAGTATAAAAACAATAAATTTAATTACAAAAGTATTCTTACAAAAAGGCATAAGGAAGCTATTAACGTACTCCTAAAGGATGAGACGTTATTGATTACGAAACCTGACAAAGGTTCAGGAGTGGTTCTTCTCAATAAAAACGATTATAGTAGAAAGCATGAGTCAATTGAAGCTAGACCACCATGGAAAACCTGGAAACACTGGACGGCCGTTTCGTCCTATTATGGGACCCCACAAAACCCCTTCTGATAATTAATATAATCATATGCTCACTAGTGACTTCGAGAAGTATATCTAGGAGCTCTAGTGAGAAGCAGTGACCAGTGGAGTTCAAAACCACGTCTGTTGTGAGATAGGAACTCACTGAAGACAATTGGTGAATGGTTGCTCAACTTCGTGGATCAGTTGAAGTTAGACATTAACACCGTTGGATGCCAGCTCAGTGGTCTATCGGATAAGGGCTTCGGCTTGAGACTGGTAGGTCCTGGGTTCGAGTCTCGCTCGCGAGAGCGGGTTCGTGAATGCGCACTGCTGAGGAGTCCCATAATAGGACGAAACGGCCGTCCAGTGTTTCCAGGTTTTCGATGGTGGTCTAGCTTCAATTGACTCATTCTTTCTACTATGAAAAATACTAAATCTCCACAAAACCCCTTCTGAAAAACGATTATATTGATAAAATGGGGACCATTTTAAATGACAAATTAAAATTTCAAAAAATAACCATAAAGATCTCAATATGAAAATAAAGAAGGAGCTTACTAGTTCTTTGAAGAAGCTCAGCGACAACCAGACTATTTCGTCTGGTTTATATGAAATGATTAAACCAGTTGGAACTTATCTGCCAAGACTGTATGGATTACCAAAGATACACAAACCGGAGATCCCATTAAGACCTATTTTAGATATGTATAACTCTCCTTATCATACTATGGCTAAATGGTTAGTAACTTTATTGAAACCTCTCCACAGAAAGCTGGTAAAACATAGTGTTAAGGATATATTTCAATTTGTTGATAAAGTAAAAAATGTCAATACTTTGAAACTAAAGATGATGTCTTTGGATGTAACATCACTATTCACGAATGTTCCACTTCTAGAGACCGTAGAATATATAGGGGAACAACTGACTGAAAATAAAATTGAAACTACAGTTCCGATTAATGTCTTAAAAGAGTTATTACTGAAATGCACCATGAATGTAAATTTCAAATTCAACGGTGAAATATTTGGACAAACAGATGGTGTGGCAATGGGTTCACCTCTGGGTCCTATACTAGCTGATATATTTCTAGCTAAACTAGAGAACGGTCATCTGAAAAAGATTATTCAAGAATTCAAATTTTACTGCAGATATATGGGTGACACATTCATCCTGTGTAAAGATAATATTTCACAACAAGATGTGCTTAGGCAGTTTAACGAATTGCATCCAGCCATCCAGTTTATATCGGAGGAAGAGAGTGATGGCCGAATAGCCTTTTTGGACGTCCTCTTAACTAAGAGATCAGATGGATCGTTAAGAAGAAACATGATCAGAAAAAGTATCGAATACGTACTATATGTTCGGCGGATGTACTTGACAATGAGCTAAACACATTGTATAATGCTCTGAGGGAGAACGGGTATCCCAGAAAGTTTATAATTAAATATATGATCTTTAAAGTGAAAATAGGCGAATTCCAAACGGTCAAGAAAAAGTCCTTGTTCATGCGCCTACAATTCAGGGGGGATGCCGCTAGCGAAATACTTGCTCAGAGATTACGCGGATCTATCCAAAAATCTTTCAACGCAGGTGAACTACGTTTGGTGTTTTCTACGCGTCCAATGGTGACACCGAGGCTTAAAGATGAAGTTCCTAGAATGACCACTTCATTTTGTATTTATCAGTTCGACTGCTCCTGTGGAGCAAGTTATATTGGTCGAAGTTCTAGGAATTTACATTTTCGTGCTCGTGAACACCTCCCAGCGTGGCTAAGCAAAGGTCTGATGAGGAAAGTAAACAGCTCGATTTTGGCCCATTTAGTACAAACTGGTCATAGTGCCAGTATAAACCAGTCTTTTCCAATTATTTTTCGGGTCAGTAACTTTTTGCCTAAGCTTGTCAGGCTTAAAGTCTTTCAAACGGCGGTGGCAGTAGCCATCAGAATGAAGAAACCTGAGCTATGTGTACAGAAGAAATATCTCCAACCCCTACTCCTCCCTTGGCCAACCACAAGGCCAATTAATGAACAATCATCTTAGCTATTGTATGACCTAATTTGACTATGTACTTACGACCTTTCGTAGTCAAATGTAATTGTCTCTCTTATCTTTATTCACAAATCTTTGTATTTGATTATTATTATTATTATTATTATTATTATTATTAGGGGATTTGTGGAGATTTAGTATTTTTCATAGTAGAAAGAATGAGTCAATTGAAGCTAGACCACCATCGAAAACCTGGAAACACTGGACGGCCGTTTCGTCCTATTATGGGACTCCTCAGCAGTGCGCATTCACGAACCCGCTCTCGCGAGCGAGACTCGAACCCAGGACCTACCAGTCTCAAGCCGAAGCCCTTATCCGATAGACCACTGAGCTGGCATCCAACGGTGTTAATGTCTAACTTCAACTGATCCACGAAGTTGAGCAACCATTCACCAATTGTCTTCAGTGAGTTCCTATCTCACAACAGACGTGGTTTTGAACTCCACTGGTCACTGCTTCCCACTAGAACTCCAGGACATGTATCTTGAAGTCAGTCACTAGTGAGCATATGATTATAATCAGAAGGGGATTTGTGGAGATTTCAGTATTTTTCAAAGTTGAAATCATGAGTCAATTGAAGCTAGACCACCATCGAAAACCTGGAAGCACTGGACGGCCGTGGATGCGCACTGCTGAGGAGCCCTATAATAGGACGAAACGGCCGTCCAGTGCTTCCAGGTTTTCGATGGTGGTCTAGTTTCAATTGACTCATGATTTCAACTTTGAAAAATATTATTATTATTATCGGTTAAATATTATTAGTCCCCCCTAAACATTGTAGTGCCGCGATTCGTTAACCGTTTACTTCGATAACCGTTATAATTCTAAACTTAACGGTGCGTAAAATCAGAAGACAAAGGATAGCAGCAACTACAGTTTATTGTCGAATGACTCAGGTTCGAAAGCTAACAACACCTGAGCGAATATGAACGAGCGAGTGAACAGGCAAACAAGCGAAGGAAACGAACGAGGAGCAAGCGAGCGAGCGAGAGAGTAGCAAGCAATTACATAGGCAATTTATAGTCAAATTTAATAAGGGCACAGCAAAGCAAAACAAAGGCTGATAATAATATTTGTGTGCGTACATATATGGGGAGGAGTATGAGTCATCGAATGATATTTAAGCAGTCAACATTTCGGCTAGAGTGTCATGTGCTCTAGTGGTATAGCAGTGCAAAGAATATGCAAATTGTTACTATCCAAATGACAATGTCTGTTAAGTAAGTTATAAAAAGGGCTTAACCAAAATTGGCTATAATCGAAATTGATTGTAGGATGGTTGCTATATTACTCCCCCCTGCAAACAAAGATATATGAAAAAATGTCTGTGTTTGCATAAAGTACAGTAAATTGAATAGCATAGTTACAATCAATCGTAGATATGGGCTTGTATAAAATTAGAATGAAGTTAGTGTGTATTTAGTTCGTGCCCGTCCGTTAGGCTATACAAAATAGCGGTAGGATATTGAAGGAATATGGTATCGCTTCGAAAAAAAAATTACAAGTATAAGCGCAATGGTGTACATAAGCTGTGCCGAGTTTAATAGCGTATAACATGAACTTAATAATCCATATGTATACAATGAAGAGGAAGAATTATAATTAATATTCAAAGTAGCAGAAAATTATCAGTAAA